GTCGGTGTGAGTATCCCATGTTAATGATGTTACTGCATTGCTTTCCGACACACGCAGCTGCGCCAGTCCCTTCGACCTTGAGCTACGTAATTCTAGCTTGATGTAATGTTCCGGTTTCTGGGAGAAATTCCAGAAGTTTCACAAACTTTCAACTTTCTCACTGATTTTCGTTGTATTTTTGAAGTCCAGTAAGCGGGTACAACATGAGCAGCTTTATTAATACGTACAAAAGGTGGATCCAGCGTTGCTGATGGTGGCAAACAGCTCTTTTCTTAAATCCCTTTCCCTCTGCCCCGCTGTCCCTCGCTACCCTCTACGCCACCGCTTGTAGCAACAGAAGAGAGGTGGCATTCAACCCCTTCTCTAGCGCTCAAATCGAACAATTCTTCATTTAGGATGGTGCCGATGAGCATGGGGCGTGGCACTGCGGGGCGGGTTTCGGCATCCGTCCATCCCATTCCACGTACTAGCATCAGCATCAGTACCGCTATAGTGACACTAGTGCAAATGCTAGTGTTCTTGGAATGGCATACTGGAGCAACAAGAGGAGGAAATGATGATTTTTCGGATTGTATAAAATACTTATTTCTTATTTATTCGCAAGCGTCTTAAAAAATTTTCCTATAAAAATATTCAAATATCAATAACTGGCAGTATTTTTATACGTTTTTGCATATATGCAAATGCAAAACGCTTATCGTAACAAACCACATGTGATGTGTGTCTGTGTGTGTGCGTCTGCACGGGTATTTCAATTCGGCAATCGAGGAAGCTCCAATGCTGTAATTTTGCCAGTGTGTCCCCCAGCCAAGTGCCACCCGAGGATCCCAGTACCAATCAATTCGCATGACTGGGCCCCGTGTACGAGCACGTGAAATTTTTGGTGGGAAAATCGCTAACTCGGAAACTGGAAGACTGAAATTTTAAGGGGATGTTTCTAGCCCACCTACAATTTAAAATTTCAGATTCAGTCCTCTAGTGTGCAGGGTTCTCACGCATGGGCCGTGGAAGTTTTTGGCGGGAAAACTGTTGACTTGGAGGCCAGAAAAGTTAAAAAACCGAAATGTTAAAGGGCCGCTCCCCGTGTATGTGGAACTTAAAAATTTCAAATTTAGTCCCAGGTATGCGCGGCTCTCAAGTACGGGTAATCAGAAGCTTTGGCGGCAAAATTATTCATTGGTCAGCTAAGTCATTTTCAAGAACCGACCGCTAAACGGAATTTTTTTACTCTCCTTTATGCAAGATTTAAGCTTTTAAGCTAGCGATTGCACAAGATAAATGTAAAATAAGAATCATTCGTATAGTTAACGACCTGATTGCTTCAAGCATAGTGGAAAAATGCATGACTGCATCAGCAGCCTAGTGCGCTTAAGTAGAATTTTTATTATTCAAGCTGTTTCATTTTTCTTTATTATTTACTATTTTTTTTTCATAATCATCTACTATTTTTGATTATTCGAAAAATTACACTCTCTTCACATTAATCTTACAGCACATTAACAGCAACTGTCGCACTGACGAAGTCCAACTATGGTGCTGAATAGAAATGCATGCGACTTCATGGACCGAAACAATCCAGTTCATTTCATTCTTTTTTAATGTGCTTTTATATTCTACGTTTCATCATTAATATCTTTATAACCCAGAACACCATCAGTTTTGGATAATAGATTCCGGAAAATTGACTGAAGGGCTGCAAAATAGAGCCAGAACGAATGCAAAATAATATTGTATCTGCTTAAAATTTTGCCAAAGAGGATGCTGGTCGAAACTGCTAAACACTGTGAAAAAGCGAAATATATAAATTCGAGCAAAAAGGCAGCTGGTAGGCACTAAAATCTGGCCAATAAGCGCATTCGCTCTCTATGAGAAGCGGAGGGAAGCAGACCGAACGATAGCTAATGCCAAAAGCAACCGTCCACTGGCAAGGCTTTTGATCGTTTCTTTTTCCGAAGGTTGCTTGCTAGTGAGTTGTTGACGGATTAAATGAATTTAGAGGCGCAACAGCATGCAGGAAGCAAAAATTTAGTTTAATTAGCGTGCGAAATATAGAATATCATTTTGGTCAGACAAATCGATGACCGTCAATTAATGTCATCCTGTTCGATAGTATGGTTCAGTCCTGTAGCCAGAAATTTTTTCATGAAGAGCACATCCCGTCGGAGAAATTTTATTAGTGGATAATAAAAAGACCTGTTGAAAAGTATATCTTTTGTTTACTGAATTCCTGCTGGTGGTCCCAGAATAATGACGGATAATTCTTTTCTCATGACGAAATCAACAGTTCGATTCCGTAAAAGTCTCTTTATGAATCAGTGGTAAATTGATACTGGTTTATATATTATTAGTAACTTGCTTCTAA